GGGGGGGGGGTGCCCATAGAACAGCTTGTCAGATGTTTGCTGTGTGGGGGTCAGTATCTTGCTCCTCGTATCCTCCTCGGTCTCTGCCACCCCACAAAAGCCCCCATCCCTACCCTACTCCGAGCTCTGGCTCGGCCTGGGGAGAGTAATTGATCCCAAAGCTCTTGGAGCTCAAAGCCAGTTTGCGGCAGGAGTGGGCCAGGAAAGTCTGCACCGCCACCCTTGTTCTGAGCGAGTGGGGAGGCTCCCATAGCTAGCAGCCCATTCAGCCCACCGGACGCCCCTGGGCCCCCGAGGTGGAGTCAGGGAGCCAGTGGCATGTCCCAGACTCACACGTGTGCACCCCCCATCCCACCACCAGCACCCTCCAAGCTAAGCGCCCTGACTCGTGGGTCTGTGCACCTGTGTGCCCACCTGACCTGGGTGTTTTGGGGGTTTGAGCAGGAAGAAGAGACTCCCAGGGGAGTCTGAACCCCACCTTCCTGGCTGGGGCCAGTCGCGGGGGGGCTGTCAGAGGGGCAGGAGGACGGGAGGCAGGGCTAGCTGGGCGGCGGCCTCCCCTCCCTCTGCCTCCCACAGATCCCGGGAGCCTCTGCCTCTGTTGACCTAGTTCCCAGCCCTCCCTCAGAGCTGTTTGCTCAGCTGGCCAGGCCGCGCCCTGCCCACCTGGCTGGCAGGTGTGGCTGTGGGACACTGGTTCAGGACGGGCTTCCCCGGGCTTGGCGTGGTCAGGGGGCCGACTCCCCAGAACCTTGGCATGGGGTCCGTGCTCCCCTCCCCTGGTCAGCTGCAGCCTTGCACGTTGGGGTCCAAGCCAGGTCTGGGAGCAGCCAGGCGGCTGGGGTCTTGGGACGCGTCCTCAAGCCACCGCTAGTGGCTTTTGGTATTCTGGTCCATTCTGATGTGTGTGGCCCAGGTCAGCAGGGCTGTCATCAGAGGTGGGAGAAGGCCGTGCAGGGGAGGGAGCGAGAGGGGACACTTGTCAACAATTAACGGCCTAATTTAAGGGATGCCCCTTGCTGTGTGTGTGACGGGAGGTAATTACGGGGCAGGGGCCTGCGGGGGGGCGGGGGGGCTGGTTCAGCCGTGTGGGCAGCAGGTCCAGGCCGCTGGCCTCACAAGGACGGGGTCTGGCGTGGGCACGGTCCGGCTCTGGGAGGGGGGTGGGTAGCCTGGTGGGACAGGCCCCTCGGTGCACCGCCTCACAGCCTATATCTGGCCACCCAAGCACCTAGGGTGGGTGGGTCTGGTGGGGAAGGCTTGCCTGCCCTAGAGGCTTCCTGGAGGAAGGGGAGGTCAGCCCTGGCTCCCTGGGGGCCAGTCCCCACCCTCACCTCCCTCTGCTCCCAACCGCCCCACAGGAGCCTGATGCCACGCACCCTGGACGGGCAGATCACCCTGGAGAAGACCCCTAGCTACTTCGTGACTCGGGAGGCCCCCGGCCGCATCCACGGCATGTCCCCGGACACGAAGCTGATCGTGGTGGTGCGGAACCCTGTGACGCGGGCCATCTCCGACTACGCCCAGACGCTCTCCAAGACCCCGGGCCTGCCCAGTTTCCGTGCCCTGGCCTTCCGCCACGGCCTGGGCCCCGTGGACACGGCCTGGAGCGCCGTACGCATCGGCCTGTACGCCCAGCACCTGACCAACTGGCTGCGGCTCTTTCCCCTGTCCCGCTTCCTGTTCGTCAGCGGGGAGCGCCTGGTCAGCGACCCGGCCGGGGAGGTGGGCCGCGTGCAGGACTTCCTGGGCCTCAAACGCGTGGTCACGGACAAGCACTTCTACTTCAACGCCACCAAGGGCTTCCCCTGCCTCAAGAAAGCCCAGGGGGGCAGCCGCCCCCGCTGCCTGGGCAAGTCCAAGGGCCGGCCCCACCCCCGCGTGCCCGAGGCTGTGGTCCGGCGCCTGCGGGACTTCTACCGGCCCTTCAACCGCAGGTTTTACCAGATGACCGGCCAGGACTTTGGCTGGGACTGAGGAGGACGGGCCAGCCCGTGCCCGGCCCGGGGACCCTCGCTCACCTTAATTTATGCCGGCCGCCGGGCCGTGGAGCCTGCAGACAGATGATGGGTAGGGAAAAGTATTTAAGGAATAAAGCCTGGGTCTGTGTTCTTCCACATAATCTGGAAGGTGGCCAGACGGGGGGCTGGAGGTGCCACCGCCCGGGGAAACGCTAACCATACCACCTGTCTCTACAGGGCACCGTTCGTATGCCCGGAGTGGTCCAAAACCCAATCCTTAGACATCCCTTGGGGTGTGCAGTGAGCTTGGCCACATGTCACACATGAGCAACTGAGGCTCAGAGAGGTTTAGGGCCTGCCCAGTGACGCACAGCTCAGACTCTGGAGGCCCTCCTGTGCGCCCTGGGATGCTGAGCTATGCTGGAATGTTGTCCCCGTGCGGCAGATGAGGAAACTGAGGCTCCAGGTTGCCCACGTGAGGGCTGGGGGGGGGGGGATGAAAGTTGGATCTGGCCAACTCAGGGCTGCACCCATGACTGCGGCTGATTTCGTGTCTTAGTGCCCGTTGGATGCTCCCTCCTGGGAATCTGGTGAGGTTGCGTTACACAGAGTGTGACGTGAGGAGCAGCAGCGGGGTATTGGTTTTAAGCGTCCCCAAGCCCCTGGGGACAGTGTGGCACCACCCACCACAGGCCACACCCATGCTGCCACTCTCACCCTCCAGACCCTGCCCGCTTGGGGGGGACGTGCCCTCTCAGTGGGTTCCACCCACTCCCCCAGGCCCTGGATGCCCCAGTTCTGCTGTGTTCCAGGAAGTGCTCCCGCCTTTGGGGGATGGGCAGAGGTGAATGCCCATCTGGGGCCCAGCTGCCTGCTCAGATCCTGACTTAGGCCAGGCTCGGGTGGGCTAGGCTGCCCTATCCACCCCTCTGCCCCTGGGAAGGTGGGGGCCCCTTCCTAATGACTGTCACCTGCTCTTGGCCACAGGAGGTGTTGCTTGCCAGGTGCCCACAAACAGCCCTGACAATGACCTCCGGGGACCCTTGGAACCAAGCCTGGCATGCCCCGGCTGTGCTGGGTCCTCACAGGACCTGGCTGCGTCCTCTGCACCGCAGGCCTTGGGTCCATATCAAATCTTCAGCCCTGCTGTGGCCTTTCCAGCTCTGGGCTAGTTGGAGTAGCTGCCCGTCCTGGGCCCCGGGGTGGAAATGAGGGAGGATTTCCAGGGGAGTGACCGCTTACCTTCCAGGCACCTTTTCTGGCTAACCGTGAGCCAGCGGGCCCAGCAGTCACGGTGGCTACGGTCTTTGTCACATGACCTTACCAGTGGTAGACACCTGGGGTAACCTGATTGTCTGTGAGAAGAGGCTCGACAGGAAGTGGGGAGGGAGTTGGGGGCATCTCTCCTCAGCGGCCCGGAGCCTGCCCCTCGCTCCTGCTGGTTCTGGGCCCAGAGGACACTCCTGTCTGGATTGTCCTGAGGGGCCAGCACTGTCAGGAAGCTCTGCCATCGGGGCCAGGCCAGAGGCAGGACCGGGGGCTGGTCCTGAGACACCCTGGCGGAGATGCGGTGGCAGATGTGGGCAGGTGCGGCTGAGACACAACTGCAGGCCCCTCCCCCGCCTGGATGCCTGCCGTGGGAGGAGGGGAGGGCTGGCCCAACGTGCAATAATGGTGACCAACGTGCAATAACGGTGACGAGGCAGGGGCCTCCGGGCCCCGCCGGATGGCAAGGCCTGGGCTTGGCGTCTCTGTCCCCATTCCCGGTGCTGGGGCCCCACTTAGCGACCGTGTGGCAGCCCGCCCCGGGTGTCAGGGCGGGACGGAAGGCAGTTCCCAGCCTGGGCCCTGCCCGCTGCTTCCCTCTTCCTGGACACACCCTTGTCCAAACTTTTAGCAGCTCCGGCCCTCTGCGGCTTGCCCCCACCCCTAGCCGGCATGCCACCCTCACCCCTACGCTCTTGCCCCCACAGCTTCTTCCACCTGTCTCGATCTGCGTAGCCTTTGTACATGCTGTTCCCTCTGCCTGAAATGCCTTTCAGGCACAGAAGGTGCGGGCTGAGAGGGGACAGCCTAGGAGTGCGGAGGCTGTTCCCTCACACCAGTCTCCTTTCCTCCCTACAGTCAGAGCCCCTTTCCCGAGCCCACTGACATGACCCACTTTTCCCTTCCGGAAGCTTCTTGGAAGCAGAGCTGTGGGAGCCACCAGTTTGTCTGGCTCTGGTGCCCAGAAGGCAGGCTGGAAACAGTGTGGAGAAAGGGTGAGCTGGCTGGTCCCGGTCCTCCCCCATCCCCCTCCCAGTGGAAACTGGGCCCGACTGCCCGCCAGCGCCCAGAGCCAGGTGCCCAGCTGGGCCTCAGAACACACTGAGGGCAGATGCGGTGGGTCTCCCCGGCTGTGTGTGGGGGTGGGTCTCCGTGGGAGAGTCATCGGCCTTTAATTAAAGTCCCTAAATTGTTTCCCCAGCTGCTCAGTGGGTTTTCCATGTTGGAATGTTCCAGATGGAGCACAAAGTGCTGATCCAATTACCTTCTTCCTGTTCTGCTCAGTGGGGGAGAAAAGGCCGGGGACCCCTTCTCCGTTCCTCACAAGCCAGCCAGACTGGGATGAGATGGGTGGGGGTGGGGGTGTTCACAGCCTTGGGTGTCCAGGAAGGGGCCTGGAGACACCTGGGGAGGGGGCGGCTTCTACCGCACCTGCCTCAGACCTTCAGGCCATGGTTGGTACAGGCTGGGGGCCCACAGGGTCCTTGCTCCCTGACCCCCAGGACAGGCAGGTGCATCTGGGTGAGGACGGGGTTCTTTACCCTGAGCCTTACACATGTGGGCCCTGGAGATCCTGAGCAGACCCTGCCCTGAGTGGCCTCCGTGCCAGGCTGGAGACAGGAGGGTCGGGACTCGGATCTGCCCTCCCTGTTGGGAGCCAGTCGCCATCCGTGGGACCTGGCCGCCTCCCTCCCCTGGAGCCCCTGGAGCTCCTGGAGGAGGCTCCGCAGCCTGGCGACCCCTGGACCCCATCTGCAGCCACCTGCGGACTCTTGTCCTCCTGTGAGGGGGTACCTCTCTCCAGGGCTGGGGGGTCTGGTGGGCTGACCTTGCTGGCTCCCCTCTCAGGCTCCTAAGAATGGCTGCAGGACCAGGTGTGGAAGGGGAGGCTGGGCCCTGGGGAAAAGTCTGGAAAGAGAGGTACTGTTCTGGGCGGCACCTGTGAGCCCCCTTCACCCCAGGAGGAGCGGTGCTTTGGGGAAGGGCCTGGTCCACCTGGAGCTCATGGCTGGTCTCCGTGTCCCAGGGTGGACACCTCTGGCACCTGTCCCCTCGGCCAGATCCAGAGGCCCTTCCTGAAGTTTAGTCGGCCCCGCTCCTGGGAAGCTCCCCATTCCTCTTAAGAAGCCGCTGGGCTGCGGTGTCCAAACAGCTCCTCCTGCATCTGCACCGGGAGGGGCTAGGAAGACCAGGCAGACCCTCGGTGCTCTCCTCTGGTGGCCGTGGCAGCAGCCTCTGGGACCCCGGGACCCCTCTGGGCCTTCGGATGCTGCGCAGCAAGGGGCTGGCAATTTGCTGACATCATGAACCCAGTGGTTCATTTCTGTGGGACTCTCCCTTTCTAGAAGTTTTCTCTTCAATTGGCAAGGGCTGACTCCTGAAGTCTCCTTGGGGGCAAAGGCCCAGGCCAGGGGGTGCGCTGGGGGCTGTGGGAAGCTGGGATGGAGGGACCGGGAAGGAGTCAGCTGGCCTCAGGATCCGGTGCCTCCGTGGGCCCGCCTCGGCCCTTTGAACCGCAGGACCAGTGGATCACTCGCATGGCTGTGGCCGTGGCAGGGGCCTCGCCCTCCCTCCTGTGGGAAGCCGCCACCTCCTGCGGCCCGCAGCCCTCAGGCTCCTCCCCGGGGCTCTCTGGTTCTGAACTCAGGCTTTCTCTATTTCCTTCGCGTCTGTCTTACTTGTGCTCTCGGAGGAGGGTGGCCACCCTCCACAGGGCCGGAGAAGCACAGCACTAACCACGCAGGCACCAGGATGCATGGATGAGGGGATAGGGCAGGGAGTGACAAGGACAGCCGTGGGAAATGATCTGCACCCTGCAGGAGGCCACACGCCAGGGCCGGGGGCTGCGCGGCCCTCCTGGCCCGCAGGAGCCAAAGGATGGAAGCAACGCAGGTGACCATCAACAGACAAATCGATAAACAAAACGTGCTCTGTCCCTGCAACGGACTATCCTTCCGCCACGAGACGGGTAGAAGTCCTGATACACACCGTATCGTGAACGAATCCTGGAAACATCTGGGTAAGCAGAGCAGCCAGACACAAAAGGTCACCGATCGTATGGTTGCATTGATGTGAAATGTCCAGAACGGGAAAATCCATACAGACCCAAAGCCGAGTGTGGTGGTTGCTGGGGGCTGGGGGAGGGGCTTGCGGGGGGGGGG